AGGGATGTCACTGTGGGAATGGTGTACCCCTCAGGAACTTCAGAGATCATGGACTTCAGTGGTGAAGGACAGAGAGGTATCATCAACACTGTATCTACCCACTGACTTCAGTATCAGAACTACCAAGCACCAGGGAAACAGTGGATGAGATCTGCTTCTGACCACTGAGAGAGGAACTGGCTTGCCTTATGCACTTCCCACCCTGAACTACCCTCTTGCTCGCTCCCTTGACCTTTTGGCTCATCAGGCCCTCCTGCTTCTTCAAGCTGCCTCTGGGCCATCCTTCATCCAGGAGCTGTGGCAGGCTAACCTGGGGTTCCTCAGGCTGTGGCTATTCCATGATGGCTCCTGGGGTGGCTCCATTTGTACCAATAGTTTTTCTCAGGATGATACTTGGCGGCTGTCCTCTGAGCAATGCAGGGTGACAAAATGGGATTTTTCTTTGATGCGGTTGAATGTGCCTCAGAGGAATCACGATGTCACCAAAGCCTGTGACTGGATTTGAGGCTCTTGACCTGAGGGTGGGACTTCCTGGCTCTTATGATTTACTTTTTGGAAACAGCTGGGGCATGGTGAAGGCTGTGTTCAACTTCCTCCTCTGTGGCAGGTTTCTTTATTTCTGTTCTGTTTTCTTTTCACTTCCATCATGAATTTCCAAAGCATTTCCTCTATTTCTCTTTGGAATGAAGTCTATGTTCCCCCTTATTCTGACTTCCTCCATCAGTTCTCATAGAAGTAGCCTCTAGTCTGCTGCCTCATCCAAAACTCCCATTGATCTGTTTTCCGTAACTATAATTTTGTCATTTCAAAAGTGTTACTTACATAAATGGGAGTTGGAGAGATGACTCAGTAGTTAACAGTGCTGACTGCTCTTCCAGAGGACCCCTGGTCAGTTCACAGCACCCATATAACTATTTATAACACCCACGTGGTTGACCATAACTGCCCATAACCCTAGTTCCAAGGGACACTGTACTCATTTTTGGCCTCTGCAGGCGCCAGGCACTGAAATAATACACAGACATTATACATATATACATATACATGCAAAACACCCATACACATTTGAAAGGATTTTTTTAAAATCTAGCTTTCAGGAGGCAATGGCAGGTGGATCTTTATGAGTTTGAGGCCAGCCTGGTCAACACAGTAAATTGCAGGCCAGCCAGGGCACATAGTAAGACCCTGTCTCAAAAACAAGCAGAAATGTAAGTATTACATAAATGAATTATACATTATGTATCTTTTTATATTGAGAGTCTTTCTTACTTGGTCTGAGTTCCCTTAACTTCATCTAAGTCTGCATGTATCAGTGTATGCCTTTCATTTCTGGATATAGTTTGTAGTTATAATTTCTGAGTACAGTTTATACCTATATTTCTAAGTATAGTCATTCCACAGTTTCAAGCAGGCTATTTCAGTACATTTTTGTTGTTCTCAGTTTGAAGGTTGTATACATTTCACTGCTCTGAAATTAGTGTTTACATAGTAAAGCTGCTGACTTGCGCGTTAAACATACGTTTTACTTTATCAGAAGCTGCTACTTTGCTTTTCAGAGTGGCTGTATCATTTTCCGTGCCCACTCTCGATATATAAAAGATACAGTTGCTTCTTTCCTACTCTACATTGGATGATATCAGTGTTTTTAAATTTTAGATATTTTGATAGGTGTGTGGTTCCCACGTGGCTTTCATTTGTTTTATTCCTCATTTTCATTAATTTGAACATCTATTTTATTCTTTCACAATTACACACACACACACACACACACACACACACACACACACACACACACTGATCATAGTCATTCCCTATTCTTCTCCCTACTCTAACATCCATTCCTGAAGAATCTCTTCCTCCTCACAAGCCCTGTCTACTGTTAGGTCTTTCTCTGTGTGAGACTCACTGAATTCAGTCAGGGTTGCTTGCATAAGCATCAGTGGGTTTCTCTTTTATTTTTTACATTTTATTTTGTGGGTGTGGCAGGGAGTGGGGGTGCACACCTGTCCAGGTCAGGGACAGCTTGTGGGGATCCATTCTCTCTTTTCACTGTGTGGATCCCAAGGATTGAATTCAGGTCATCAGGCTTGATAGCAAGCATCTTTCCCTGCTGAGCCATCTTGCTTTGCTTAAGTTAGATTTTGCTATTTTAGCTAGGTGGTGGTGGTGCACACCTTTAATTCCAGCACTTGGGAGGCAGAGGCAGGTGGCTCTCTGTGAATCTGAGGCCAGCCTGTTCTACAAAGTGAGTTCCAGAATAGCAAGGACTGTTACATAGAGAAACCAACCCTGTCTCAAAAAACAAACAAGCAAACAAAAATTTGCTATTTTTTTTCCTACTGCTTGTTTCAGTTTGTTGAATTCAAATCTTTCATTCAAGGAGCTTTTGCTTAAAAGTAAGATTCCTGTGGGGGCTGGAGAGATGGCGCAGCAGTTGAGAGCATGGTTGATCTTTCAGTTCCCAATACCTACATGGTAACCCACCATCTCTGAATTCCAGTTTCAGGGTACCTCTCTTCTGGCCTCTGTATGCACCACACACACAGAATACAGTTGCATACAGGCAAAACACTCATAAGGTAAAAACAAACAAACAAACAAACAAATAAATAAATAAATAATAAAAAATAGATTTAAGATTCCTTGGGATTTTCTACAAAGTTAACTTTCTTTCTTTCCATCATGCATGCATTTTGCTCCCTTTTCTTGCCTTATTGCCATAGCCAAGATCTTGTTCCCAATGTGGGCAGCGTCTCACTCTTTTGTCATATAAGTCATATGTGAGCTATAGGATTTTTGTAGCTGCTTTGTAAAATAATTTCTCCTCCTTTCTTACTCCTTGAGTTTTCATCCTAGATGGGCAGGGATTTTGTAAAATGTTTTATCTGCCTCATCCAGTATGGGCCTGCTAGATTGTTTTTCTATATATTGCTAGATTTTATTAATATTGGCTTTGTTGTTATTTTTATGTCTGCTCTTGAGGTGGATTAATCTGTAATCTTCTTTAATTTTTTATAGTAATTCTGGCTTTGTAAAATGAGTTGGGAAGTATCCTGCATTGATTCTCTCTCTTTTTTTTCCTCTCTCAAATAGATAAATAACTAATTAAAAAAAAAAAAAACCATAAACTTCAACAAGACAACAAAAAAAAGTAGCAAAATAAATCAGGCTAGGGCCACTGTGTAGCATAGACTGACCTCCAGTTTGTGGTCTTCCTCTCCAGTGGTGGAATTACGAGTGTATTCTGTCGATGCTCACTGTCCACCACTGTGGTGTTTAATTGAAGAGGCTGGGTAGCATTGCTTGTTGTTTCTTCTTCCAGGAGCTTTGTTTAAATGTAAGATTCCTTTGGGAGTAGAAGAGATGTCGCAGTGGTTCAGAGCTCTTGCCGCCCTTGCACAGGAGATTCTTTAGTGGAACTGGCTGAGCCTGGATATTTTTTAAGAAGGTTTTTAAGTATGAATTTAGTTTCTTTAGAGGTTGAATAATGATGATTTGGTCTATCTTTTTAAACACTCTATGAATGATTGAGAGCATGTAGATTCTATTGCAGTTTGGGTGGCGTGTTCACAAATTTCAGTTCTCCGTATTGCTCAGTTTTTTCCGTATTGTTCAGATCTGTATCCTTGCTGACTTTCTTCTCCTGGTTGTTCCACCCACTGAGGAATGTTGGCACTCCACTAGAGCTGTGGGTTTCTTCTTTCTTGTTTCAGTTCTGTCAGTTTTTCTTCATTTGTTTTGGAATTCCATGTTTTATACAAACACCACATTTAGAATTGTTTTATCATCTTGGTGAATTGTCCTTTGTCATGATTTATGTAATTTTTGTCTCTAGGATCCTTTGTCAAAATATTAATTGAACAACAGAATAATCCATTAAGCATGTCTCTATGTAAGTTTGAACATACAATCTATGTGTTTTTATTTTAGGCTATACACACACACACACACACACACACACACACACACACACCCTGACTTTTGTTCCTCTCTAAAAAGCATTTCTAAAGAACTATTTCAGGTATCTAGCATGGAACTGGCAGAATCTGAACTAGTTTTGACAGCCTAGAAATTAATATTTTAGTATAAAAATGAAATAGTTTATATTTGTATTTTGTGATTTTTTAAAAATAAAATCTAGTGTAGATGTAAAAATTAATGGCAGGGACTGAAGAGATGGCTCATTGGATAAGAGCATTTGTTGATCTTGAAGAGGACTGGAATATGGTTTTCATCACTAATGTCAGATAATTTATAACTGCCTGTAACTCCAGCTCCAGGGGTGCAGCATCTTTTCCTAACTTCCACAGGTACCTGCATATCCATAGAACACAAACACATACAAATACACACACACACACACACACACAAACAGTGACAGGGCTTACATATTCACTACTTAATTTTGGTAATTTTAATTTTTAGATGGAAGAAAGTAAGATCTTTATTTTTTAATTAAAAAACAAATTAATAAACTCATTTGTTTATTAGTTGCAATATGCCATAGGAATACCATATAAAAATTCTTCAACTATGTTCATTGATATAGAAAAAGGGGAAATGATGGAGGAAGGTCATTGGTTAAATAAAGAAACTGCCTTGGCCCTGATAGGAGAAAATTAGGTAGGCAGAGTAAACAGAACAGAATGCTGGGAGGAAGAGGAAGTGAGCTCAGACTTGATAGCTCTCCTCTCTGGGGCAGACGCGATGAAGCTCCGACCCAGGATGGACGTAGGCTAGAATCTTCCCGGTAAGAGCACCTAGGGGTGCTACACATATTATTAGAAATGGGCTAGTCCAGGTGCGAGATTTAGCCGAGAAGAGGCTAGATATAATGGGCCAAGCAGTGTTTAAAAGAATACAATTTGTGTGTTGTTATTTCGGGCCATAAGCTAGCCAGGCGGTCAGGAGCCGGGCTGTGGGAAGAGGCCCGCAGCTCCTTCAACAGTTCATAGCAAGAAATTGCATGCTTTTCTCTGGATACTTAACTTTGTTCTCAGGTAACTCAGGGAATCAGCTCACCAGGAATCTACAGATTAAACCACGGAAATTCAGTGAACACAGGACCATGTGGTTTAGATCCTACAACATGACTTTTTCCTGTCTGACCAGAATGAAAGCTTACAGGTGAGTTTATTTTTGTTATTCTGGTAGGGATTTACATAATTGTGCATAATAGTAGTTTAGTTTTGATTGTGTGTAATAAACTTGACCAGTATGTAAAAGCTCATCTGGTTTAGCTAAAGTGGCCTTTATTTAAATATTTTTAAATAATATGTTGTAATAATTTTTAGGCTTAGAAAACTTCAAGGTCACTGAAAAGATGTAAGAAAACATAGGATATAGCCATGTATGCTATTTATTCCAATTCAGGGACAATTTTCATTTTTAATAGATTAGACACATCTCTTTCCAGTTCTCCAGCCCACTTCCACCCTGGAGAGTGCCTTTTTCCTTCTTAGTAACCCCCATTTCTATCCTAAAAAAAAAAGGAGAGAAGGCTGCTTTAAGGACATGGCGATGTTTTACTTCTCTGTAGTCCCCCTTGTGATGGAACAAAAACATAAACACACGAAGGCAGAGAAGTCTGTAATGCTACATAGTAAGAATAAGTCAACAAATGTGTGTTTAGATTTTACAAATTCATTTCTAATCTTGTGAAAAACTACCTCCCTAGTATAGTTAAAACTGAGTCTACTTCCTGAGTGCATGGCCTTGCATCTTGTGAGCATGGTTGAGACTGGGTGTAGGTGTAACTCTTCTCTGTCAACGGAGCAACTACTTACTGTGCGTTACCTTTGGTGTGCTAGTCCTGGTTACTGAAGGTTTGACTAATCTTGCTCAAGGAAATTCATATTCCTAAGAAAACATTAGAGAAAAGTGATAGCTTAAATTTAAATTTTTAAGTTAGATTTATTTATTTGTGTGTGTGTATGTAGGGAGGTGTCATGCATGCCTTCACACCCTTGCAGAGGTCAGTGAACAACTTTGAGGAATCATATTTCTTCTTCAACCATGTGAGTTTCAAAGATCAAGTGCAGCTTGTCAGGCTTATTAGCAAGTGCTTTAACACAGTGTGCCATCTCACTGACACATGGTACTTGACTTTAAATAATATAAAAAGAATAATACCTACAGAATGTACTCTCTAAATGGAGCCAAGAAAAATAATAAAACAATGAAAAGTCGAGTGGCATTATTTTTTCTGCTTTAAGAGCCTGATTATCTTTGGCCAAGTAGAACTTTGGAGTATTTCTCTACACTGTGCTGACGTGCAGTTCAGTGTTGTGTCTGATTTTTGTTTTGCTTCCCCTTCTCTTGTGATTAAAAGAGAGAGGACAAATTATCCACTGTCTGATCTCTTCTCTTCAAATATCTATTTGACAATTATCCCCCGAGAAACTGCTGTGTTCTAGGAGCTGTTCTAGTTCCTAGGAATAAAATGATTCGCCACTGTCCTTGCCTTTCCTTCACAGTAGACGTGATCAGAAGGTATACAACCAGTGAAGAAATACCGTGACATAGGAGTTAAAATGGGGGGGATGTGACCCATGTTTGAATACCAAGGACGATTTTGTAGTAACAGTCTATTTAAATTAAGATTTGAGGTGCGAGAAGGAAGTGCTTAGTAAAGAAAAGGAAGGGCTGTGGGGAAAATGATCTGTACAGAAGAAACAATATCCACAAGGTCTGTGAGGTAAGAGCAAGCATGGCCCATTCAAAGGCTGCATGGCTGATGGGAGAAGATGAGGAGGAAATGAGCTTAGAGAGGACGGAAGCTAGGGACTCCATCATTCTGAGCTTTCTTTCACCCCAGGGGTTTTACTCTTTTATCTAACAACTTTGGAAACCTTGAGAGCATTTTATGTGAGAAAAAAAATTAATTAGATTTTTATTTCAGAATAATCTCTCTAGTTCATCTGGGAAAACTAGAAGGTGATGTATGGAGTCAGCAGACTATAGAAGAGTAAGACAGTGGTCAGGAGATGGTGGAGATTAGACTTCCATGACATCTGTGGAAGTGGAGGGAGCAGGCGGATGGTAGAATCACTTGTGTTCAAGTTGGGGCTTAACCACTCACTTGACCTCTCTGAACTTTTCATTTTCCAACCATAAAATAAGGATAACAGTACAGTTGTCCAAAATAACATGTGTCTTAGATAGTACCTGACGTTTAGTGGATACTTGATAAGTGATAGCTATTGTTGTTGTTATTATTTTTTTGTATTAGATGTGACCTAGAAGAACAGGCTTTGTACTCAAAACCTTGTGAATTTATATGAACACATGATTGATCCATCTATATATATTTAGAATCTAATAAATTAGGATATCTTTATATACAGTATATTCTGTTTATCATACTTTTTAGAACAACAGTATTGCCTGGTTCTTTGTTGTTGTCCCTTAGATCCCCTTGGCAAAGCTTATACAGTACTTCACAAACAACAGTTGACAGCAAGGAGGTGAAAACCTTCCTGGCCCTGGCTCACAAGTGGTGGGATGAACAAGGAATATTAGCACCTCTTCATTCTATGAATGACCTGAGGGTGCCATTCATAAGGTAATATTCCAGAAACTCCTTTTAAGTCTTTAAAAGTGCATAATTCACTATTTTGTATTCATTTCGCCTTTGCTTTTCTTGAGTTCAAAATTTCGCATCTTAGGTTTGCTTTGGATGTTAGGTCTGTCTCTCATCAGGATCCACAATTTACAAGCATTAACTGTGGAGGTGGGGAAATGACTCTGCAGCTCAGAATTCACCACACTGCTCACAGAGGACAAGGGTTTGGTTCCTAACATGCACATCAGACAGCTTACACCATTCCAGTTCCAGAAGATCTGACAGTCTCACTGGCTTCTGAGGGCACACGGGGCTCATGCACATACCCAGACACATTCACACAATTTAAAAAAAAATTAAAAATATCTTTTAAACCACTAACTTACAGAAACAGTACTAAAACCCAGGTTGCTTTTACAACTTAATTATAAACATTTTGGGCCCTATTAGGTGATTAGAATTCAGTCCTAATGAAAGGGAACCAAAGTGCTACCCCATCAGGTCATTTTATAGCTGCTGCTCTGCAGTGGCCTTGATGACCTTTAGGCAGTTCTGATAAAGGGAACCTTACAGAGACAGATAGGTTCAACAAGGACGTTTGAGAGCTCACACTTATGGGGCTCCAGTTCCAGACTTTGAAAGCTACTTGAATGAACAAAATGTGGACCATGTGTTTCAATGGGAGATAAAGAAAGGCAAGAACTCAGTGGGCTTTGCCATTAATGTGTTATGCCCAGATCACAGAGTCCTCCCAAAACCAACTAGGAGACGGAGTCCTGAATGTAAAAGCAATACAGCCACATAATGACTGCTTTAATTAGACTGTAACATTTCCTTCTCATGGCTTCTAGTTATGATGAAAACAAAATGCAAACATACAACCACAGCTTGCACCACACTAGATGACCTGTGTTATGTGATATGTATAAAATAAAGATGCCACAGTAGTGGGACTACAGTTCTCAAACTTAGAAATGCTTATATAAGTTTACAAACTCGGACTCTTCCATGCGTCCAACTTACTGGAGTGATTGGAGAGCCCAGAGCTCAGTTAGGGATGGGTTTTATAGTAGCAAATGTGGGAGTGAGGGATTTCTAAGGTTCAGGATCCCCAATGGGCTGACATTTGTCTAGGGGTGTCCTGGCAGGTGATCCTATTTACAACAGTTGGAACGTTAGGAATTTCCATTGGATGGTCTGTTCCTGGGTGGTGCCTGAGCAGTCTGTGGTCTTTCTTGGAACCAGGTATTGCCTTAGGGTAAACTACTGAGACTCAGGCCTCTATTGAGCTTGTCATGCTGGGTCCTCCAGATGCAGTTTGTGTTTCAGCAAATCTAGGTGATCCCAGCATTACTAAGTTTGAGGACTGTAGTCCCACTACTGTGGCATCTTTATTTATACATATCACATAACACAGGTCATCTAGTGTGGTGCAAGCTGTGGTTGTATGTTTGCATTTTGTTTTCATCATAACTAGAAGCCACGAGAAGGAAATGTTACAGTCTAATTATAGCAGTCATTATGTGGCTGTTTGAAGAATGGGTTGGATTTCATTGACAATGGTTCATTCTGTACAACATCCTGAAGTCATCTATTTAGTTACTGTCTGGATTATTTTAAGAGTTTAGTTACTTTTACTAGCAATATTACATACCCTAATCTATGTTCATTATATTTATTTTCATTTTAGTATAAGTATAGTTAAATTATATATCCAATTTAAAACTTAATTTATAGTATTATACTACATATTGTGTATCAGATTATGTAGGTGCATATACATATATGTTGTACATATGGTAAAGTATTACAGGTCTGGAAAGGTGGTTCAGCAGTTAAGAGCACTGACTGCACTTCCAGAGGTCCTGAGTTCAATTCCCAGTAACCACATGGTGACTCACAACCATCTGATGGGATTTGATGCCCTCTCCTGGGATAAAGGTGTGCATGAGATAACACTCATATACATATAATAAATAAATCTTTAAAAAAGTATTACACTGATTATACTAGAGTAAGTTTATTATACATGAAAAAGCCCTGTTAATTTAGGAGTCTAAAAGAGACATAATAAAGACAGGAATGTAGACCACTTAAATAAATGTGGGACTCCATCTGCTTTTCTAAATTTTATTTATTTTTATTGTATATACATTGGGGTTTTGGCTGCAGGTATGTCTGTATGAAGGTATTGGCTCCCCTGGGACAGGAGTTATAGACAGTTGTGAGCTGCCATATAGATTAATGCTGGATTATTTCAGAACTTTATTGAAAATGTACAAATTAAGTAGGTTATTTAATTCTGAAAATAAAAGATACGTTTATAAAAATTTCAATGAGTCATTTCAAATTAGGATTCCAGACAGGGCATGGTGGCAACACTGTGATCCTAGAACTCAGGAGGCTGAGGAAGGAAGAGCATGGACTCAAGGCATGTCTGAGCCTTGTAGTGAGCCCCCGTCTCCAGTAAGACAGCTAAATACGCAAATTAAATTAAATGGAGGTTAATATTTCCTTGAAGATTGTATGTTTTAAGACTTTTGGTGATAAAAGTAACCATCTGTCTTTATATATTTGAATTTTGCTTTTACAGAGACAATCTTTTGAAAACAAGTGCTAGTCACCATCCAGGGAAACCTTTGTCTGGGATGAAGATTCTTGACGTTGGCTGTGGCGGCGGCTTATTAACTGAAGTAAGTGCCTTGCTGTGTTTATACACTCTTCATGGTCATGAGAGTGGATTAGGGGGCCTAAGAGTGCCAGTAAAAGTGACTAAATTCTTAAAATCATCCCAGCAGTAACGAAGTAGACTGTGTTGCTGTATTTAGAGAAAGAACACATTTCTAAAGATGTCTGTTTCATCAAACAGCTTGGGAGATTTATGCATGCATTTAATATGTTTTGATCAAAATTTTGTTGTTTTTAGCTGGGTAAAAAATTGAGAGTGGCCTTCTGCTTCATTAATCCCTTTACCAAATATATTGTTTATTTTTAAGTGAATAGTACTAATTTTAATATTATGAGTTATGATTTTATTACAAGTTCTGTTTTTAAAATTGAAAAAAAGAATTTTCAGAAAACTATTAAAGTTTTTTGGGTTTTGTTTTTAATACATGGGCATGGGTCATTCAGAGCTTTGTTTAATCTCTTTTAGCCCAAGAAATTAGGCAGCTTCTTCGAGATTAAATGCAGGTTTAATCTCTCCTTTTACACATCTCTAATAAAGCCGGCAAGAGTTTTACTACTTGTGGGAATCAGTCCTTTGAAGTGTTGTAGGGTACTGGAATGTGCGGTTGTTGTCCAGGGGGAATGTGGTACAACTGTGTTTATAGTCTTCATCAGCAGAGGGGCCTTTCGCATCATAATTTAATCTTTGATGGATATTTTCCATGATAGTTTTAGTATTTTATGTGCTGCCTTTTGAAACATGGAATAGCAGTTTTGAATTACTAAAGAATTAAATTAATTTAAAAAATGTATGTATGTATATTGTATTGACAACATTTCTCTTTCATCTTTCTCCTCCCTCTACCCTTCACCCATGTCTCCCACGTCAAATCTATGGCCTCTTTAAAAAATTATTATTGCTACATATAGGTATTAGAATAAATATATGAATACTACCTTCTGTTTAGTATTGTTCACATTTGTATGTTTTTAGGGCTGACTATTTGGTATTTGATAACCCTTTTGGTTACATTTTTGTTGCTAACATATGTTCTGTTTTCTTCTTGAGCATAACCATTTTTATGCCTCTAGCCTCTAGGGCGACTGGGGGCTTCAGTTACTGGAATTGACCCTGTGGCTGAAAACATTAAGATAGCGCAGCACCATAAGTCCTTCGATCCAGTCCTGGATGAGAGGATAGAGTACAAAGTGTGCTCCCTGGAGGAGACCGTGAATGAGGCTGCAGAAGTCTTTGATGCTGTTGTGGCTTCTGAAGTTGTAGAGCATGTGATCGACCTCGAGCTGTTCATACAGTGCTGCTATCAAGTATTAAAGGTAAGACAGAATTTGCTTTTCTCCCCCTGTTTTCTTTTTTATACAGCATTTCTCTGTGTAGCCCTAGCTGCCCTGGAACTTAGTAAATAGACCAGACTGGCCTTGAACTCAGAGATTTGCCTGCCTCTGCCTCCTGGGTTCTGGGATTAAAGGCATGCACCACCACTGCCTGAGTCAATTTTCTTGTATATATTGAGACATAGTGATGGAGGAAGGTCATTGGTTAATTAAATAAAGAAACGGCTTGCCCTGATAGGTTAAAACATAGGTGGGAGGAGTAAACAGAATAGGATGCTGGGAGGAAGAGGAAATGAGCTCAGACTTGACAGCTCTGCTCTCTGGAGCAGAGAAGCCAGGCTCCGCTCTCCCAGGCAGCTTCGACCCAGGATGGACGTAGGCTAGAATCTTCCTGGTAAGCACCTTGGGGTGCTTACACAGATTATTAGAAATGGGCTAGTCCAGGTGTGAGAGTTAGCTGAGAAGAGGCTAGATATAATGGGCAAGCAGTGTTTAAAAGAATACAGTTTGTGTGTTGTTATTTCGGGCATAAGCTAGCTAGGCGGCCGGGGTGCTGGGGACGCAGCCCCGCTGCTCCTATTTCAACAACTTAGTTTGTGTCCTGGTATGTGGACAGTTTAGGAGACAGTTCCATGAGGTGCTGAGGAGAGGTATATTCTTTTGTTTTCAGGTGAAATGTTCTGTAGCTATCTTTTAGGTCCATTTGGTTTATAATGTCAGTTAACTTCAGCATTCCTCTGTTTAGATTTTGTCTGGATGATCTGCCTATTGGTGAGTGTGGTGCTGAAGTCCCCCACTATCAGTGCATGAGCACTAATATGTTATTTAAGCTGTAGTAGTGTTTCTTTTATGAATTTGGGTGCCATTGTGTTTGGTGCATAGATGTTAATAATTGCCAAGATCTTTTGGTAGGTTTTCCCTTTGATTAGTATGTAGTATACTTTCTTACGTGTTCTAGTTAGTTTTGGTTCAAAGTTTATTTTGTCACATATTTAAAAAATAGCTATAATAGCTTGCTTTAGGTCCATTTATGTGAAATATCTTTTTCTATCCTTTTACCCTGAGGTGATGTCTAATCTTGATGTTAAGTTGTGTTTCTTAGCTGCAGCCAAAGGATGGATTTTGTTTTCACATACATTCTGTTAATCTGTGTCTTTTTACTGGAGAATTGAGACCACTTATGCTGAGAGATATCAATGAGCAGTCTGTATTGATTCCTGTTGTGGTGGTGGTGGTGATAGTGGCAGTGGTGGTGATGGAGATGGTATGTGTGTGTTATCCTTTTTTTGATTTGCTGGTTTGAGATTTTTTATTCCTTGTGTTTTCTTGGGTGTGATTAACCTCTTTAAGTTCAAGTTGTCCATCTACCACCTTCTGCAAGCCTCACCAACAAAATAAGAGATGGAAAGGAGGATCTCACACATTAAAGACATACTAGAAGAAATGGATACCTCAACCAAAGACAACATTAAATATAAAAATTTCCTGGCACAAAAAGCATCCAGGAAGTTGGGGACACTATGTAAAGACCACAAAAATAGAGGAAAGTGAAGAAACACAGGCCAAAGGCACAGAAAATATTTTCAACAAAATCATAGCAGGAGATGCCTATCAAAGTACAACAAGCATACAGAACACAAAATAGACTCAACCAGAAAAGAAAGTTCCCTCAGTACATAATAATCAAAACATTAAATGTACAAACAAGGAAAGAATATTAAAAGATGCAAGGGAAAAAGACCAAGTAACATTTATTTACATAATAATTTCTTCTATTATGTCTTTAATGTTGAGATTCTTCTTTCCATCTCTTATTTTGTTGGTGAGGCTTGCCTCTAAGGTTCCTGTTTGATTTGCTAAATTTATCGTTTCCAGATTTCCTTCAGTTTGTGTTTTCTTTATTGATTCTATTTCCACTTTTATGTTTTGGACTGTTTTATCCATTTCCTTCCACTGTTTATGTTTTCATATATTTCATTAAGGAATGTATTAATTTCCTCTTTATAGTCCTCTGTCATATTCATACAGGCTGTTTTAAGGTCTTTTTCTTGTGCTTCAGATATGTTACAATGCTCATTGCCTTTTGTGTCAGGCTTCCTGGGTTCTGGTAGAGAGATATTGTCCTGATGATGTGATTGGTTGTGTTTTGATATTAGCATCTAGGTATACGGGATTGGGAAAATTGTAATTCTAGATGCTGATATCTAGTCTTGTCTTTGTTGGGTGGATGTTTTGTTCCTTGGTTTTTGTTTCATCTCTGGATCTTAGGCAAGTGTAGTGGCTGTGTGTTGCCTAGTGGGAAATTCATCTGGGATCCTAGGTGTAGCCACTGTGGATTCTAGGTGAAATGTGTTTCTAGGTCTTAGAAGCTGATAAATAGAAATGGGGATGGGCTAGGAGTGTGGGAGCAGGGGAGGGGGAGATGGGGCCCCCAGCTGGAGGAAAGCAGGGTGTTCCACTAGGATCTGCTTAGTCCTCTGGGAGTGGGGTAGAGAGTGAAGAGAGACCACAGCAGGTGTGCTACAGAGCTGGCTATGAGACTGGGGGATAGACTTAGAGGAAAAGGGAGAGGTGAAGATCTGCAGGTAGCTGCCTGCTTTGCGGACTGAAGTTCCCAGGAAATGCTTACTGGAATTGAGGGCTGGGACGAGCAGTGAGCTGGGGAGTGAGACTGGGAGGGGAAAAATCTGTGTGGTCCATCGGGAATGGGGGTAGGAAGGGAAGGGATATCAAAGCAAGTTGTCTGCTGCAGAGCTGGGGATGAGACTGGGGATTGGATTTGGAAGGACTGAAGGAGAGGTGAAGATGCAGTTAGCCTGCCTGCTTTGCTGGCTGCAGCAGAAAGCGTCATAGTAAAATAATTGCAGATTTGCAGAAGAGTTGCAAATACAGAGTGGTTTTGCCTTCACCTGTTTTTTCCCATATATTAACACAGTTGTTCTTAGCCTTCCTAATGCTGCAACCATTTAATACATTTCCTCATGTTGTGGTGACCTCCAACCATGAAATTATTTTTGTTGCTACTTCATAATTGTAATTTTGCAACTGTTATGAACTGTAATGTAAATAGTTGTGGAGAAAGAGGTTTGCCAAAGGGGTTGTGACCCACTGTGTTAACTGCTCACAAATGGGTAGAAACCAGGCACTTAGGGCCCTATGTTGAAGGATACACTTCCTCTCATATGCCCACACATCACTGTATGCCCTGAAAGCACGTGCTGACCTCAATTCTGTGCCTCACTTGCCTCTCCAATGTCCTTTTCCTACACATAACCCCTGGTACATATCTACAGACTTAGACACAGACAGTGGCATTGCCTTATTAATGCATAGATAGCTTGCTAGGTTTATCAGTTTCTCCACTGATGTTTTTCCCACTATGTATCCATCCTAAGCTTCTGCATTGTATTAGGTACTGCGTCTCCTTAATCACCTTCCATCTTTGATGTTTTTGTACCTTTTCATTACTTTTTAATTTATTTATTGTATGTGTGTGTCATAGAAAAGCTTGAGGGAGTTGATTCTCTCCCATCATATAGATCCCAGGGATTGAGTCAGGTCAATGGGCTTGTGTCAGGTGCCATTACCCTTTGCCCTGAGCCATCTCATTGGCCCAGCTGTATAGCCCTGGCTGTCCTGGAGCTCACTCTCTTTACCAGGCTGGCATCAAACTCACAGATCCACCTGTGTCTGCCTCCCAAGTGCTGGGATTAAAGGGAAGTGTTTCACTCTTAGATGGAATTTTATTAATTCATTTCCTGTTTTTCAAGTAAAATCTTTATTTATTAGTTGTTGTATTTGTTTCAGTACATATGTCGAAATGAAGATCCTTTGACACATACAAGGAATGTGGATGTAAACTTAAATCTAATTTGTTTTTTAGTGGAGACCTGTTGCGGTCCAATGCCCCAACATAAAACTACTTTTTCCTCACTCTGGACCTGTGCGGAGGCGCAGGGAAATAATGAGACACAGTTTACACAGCAATATTGGGAGTCTCAGGCTTTGTTCATTCCTGAAGAGCACCTGTGCTTATTATTCAAACACCTTTTATTCTACCTGTAAACCAAAGTGGGAGCTCATTAATATTCTCTTTTCATCACACCTGCCACTCAGTCACCAGCTTGGAATCCACACCTCTCCCCAGGCGATCTACATAATAACAAAAGAGAAGGAGCAGTCCATCCTGAGCCTTTTGTTAGGTAGCCACAGCTTGTCTGGCAGGATGGCAGCTGCCTTAGAAACTAAATAGGGGGACTGGAGAGATGGCTCAGTGGTTAAGAGCATTGCCTGCTTTTCCAAAGGTCCGGAGTTCAATTCCCAGCAACCACATGGTGGCTCACGACCCTCTGTAAAGAGGTCTGGCGCCCTCTTCTGGCTTTCAGGCATACACACAGACAGAATATTGTATACATGATAAATAAATAAATTTTTTTTTAAAAAAGAAACTAAATATGGGCCTTTATTTTTAAAGAAAAAGAAACATTGCTCACCACTATCACCATGAAGTGTGATACTACAGAACAGAGATGAGAGACTCATAGACGATTCTTAGTAAGATTTACAATACTAGAATTTCCAGAGACAAAGTACAATGTGTAGTGATGTGCACACGCTAATATTTTGTCCTCTGTCTTAGTTTGAATCTAGGGTGGTGTTAAAAATTACCTCTTCTCTCTACTCTACACATGACATATCTGTCTGTCTGTCTGTCTGTCTGTCTGTCTATCTATCTATCTATCTATCTATCTACTATCTACTATTATCTGTCTATCATCTTCCAATCTATTATCTATCTGCACCTATCTTCTATCTATCTATCTATCTATCTATCTATCTATCTATCTATCTATCTTTTGCTCTATCATCTGTATATCATCTATTTTTCATCTATTATCTATCTATAAGTCTATCATCTAAATCAGTCATATATATCATCTACCATCTGTCTAGCATTTCTCTATCTATCTATCTATCTATCTATCTATCTATCTATCTATCTATCTATCTATCTATCATCTATCTATCTGTTACAATTGATAGAGAGAGAGACCCATAAGGTGATTTTGCAGTGGTATTTTATACTCGTTAGGCTAATGAGACTATAAGGAGTACGTCTTTCATGCTGTTTTGAAAATGAACATACAAAATAAAAAGATTGTCTTTAAATAGGCAGACTAAATACTCCCATAAAAGATTTACTTTCATCTAAGTGTTTATCTCGATCCTCTCATAACCATTTCACAAATCAACACAAAAAAATGCTTAAACTTTAACCATTAATGTTTGTGTCAGAGAGCGTTTGTTGGCAGTGCTCCTGAGCACACGATGTATGGGGGATGCTGCTCCAGGCACACTGGGTATAGCACCTGAGAGATACATGGAAGACCTCTGTATGTTAAGGGGACACCAAGGAATCAAGGCCTTCTAGACACAACAAGGCTGACACACACTTGAACTCAGCAGTACTATGACAACATGCACAGGGCCTGGGCCTGCATAGGTGTGCACCAGATGCACAGGGCCTGGGCCTCCATAGGTCCATACCAGATGCACAGGGCCTGGGCCTGCATAGGTGTGCACCAGGTGCACAGGGCCTGGGTCTGCATAGGTGTGCACCAAGTGCACAGGGCCTGGGCCTGCATAGGTCTGCATGAGATGGGCTCCTAAATCTGAAAGATGTAGACAACAGACCCATTCTTCTTGTTCAAATAATTTATTTTTATTTTATGTGCATTGCTGTTTTCCCTATGTGTATATTTGTGTGAGGGTATAGGATCACCTGGAACTGTAGTTAGTTANCCCCCCCCCCCTGCCACATTCTTAACCCAGAAGCTATCTCCAATTGAGAGCCAATTAGTTTTCTCCAAGGGGGTCTCACTGGAGAAACAAACGCTGGTAGACTCCATGCCCAGCAGTAGCTGGTCACAAAACTAACTCAGTGACATTTTTGAAGGTTCTTTGTCCCTTTATATTTTCCTTAATCTTATAAGTACTTTACTTTATATATTATGGCTTCCAGTTTTGATTTTTTTTTTTTTGTGGGATTCCTGTGCATTGCAAACATGTTTCTGCATCTGTATATGTTTCTTGTGCTTTTTTTCTGTGGCCTTTTTTCTTGTTTGGTTGTTTTGTCATATTCTGATTATTTGTTTTTTGTTTATTTTATTATTTCTTAGGTACATGTTTGTTTTCTAGTGAGACACAGAAAGGGTGTGGATCCGGATGGGAGGGGAGATGGGAGGACATGGGAAGAATAGGAGGAGGGAGAACAGTAATAGGGATATATTGTATGGGGGAAAAAATCTATTTTCAATAAAAAAAGAAAAGAATGTAAAAGTATACAGGTATCGACCTTGATAAAGTCCTTAATACATACCAAAAAGTATATAGAGATATGCTATAGCAATAAAAGGATTTTGAGTTGAAAGCCATGCTTGATGTATACAGACTTAGTGACTGCCTGTAGATTGCCTGTGATAACAGATCTTCCCAAGCGAGAAGAAAAAGAGCTATTTTGGTAAATTCTGTTTTAAATCTACTTACATGTCTTGTTTGCACCAAAATCATTTGAAAAGAAGGAGAGCGGGGAAGTAAGCCTTTCCCCGACAGTTGCTCCAACTTTGTACACTTCCTCCATCGGCTCACTTGCATATATGTTTCCTCCCGTTAGCCTGGTGGCTCGTTATTCATCACTACAATCAACAAAACACAGCTGTCCTATGCCTTGGGCATTGTTTTCTCAGAACAAATCATGGGCCTTGTTCCAAAAGGCACTCACACATGGGAGAAGTTTGTTTCACCTGAAAAGCTGGAGAGTATTCTAGAACCAAGTAAGTGTTACGACTGTTGTCCAGTCCTTTCCGAACCTTTAATGCATGTATAATTATTAATCTCCTGATCTAGTACTTATTTAAGCAGGTTACCATTTTTCCCCCATGTTAGTTGTATCTCTTCAGCTATGTCTCAAACTCTTTGAAATGGAGGTTGTGGAGGAGATACCGCTTCTGCCTGGCTCTTACTTAGTCCTGGCTGCTTGGATCTTCATTTGTTTAAGGATGGGCGGCAGTGTGTCTTACTCACACATGCTCAGTTGCTCCTGGTGAGCCCTGCCTATCTCGATTTATCCTATGATTTCTCCGGACTCTTCTATACTCAGATGTATTCCCACCTTCCATGTCATTTCTTCTGCATCTCTGGTTCCTGCAGAAATGACCACGGTAGACATCAGAGCTGCAGTTGGCTTTGGAGCTCGTATTCATTCACCCTGCAGTAGCGTGTGATCTAAATATGGCTGCATGTCATTTTCACATTTCTCCACTCTTTTCTGACCCACAGTCTCCTTCTTGTACTCCACACAGTGCCTCACCGTGCTGTGTGGCCCAGTCAAAGCTTTGTTGAGTGCGTGAAGTAATGCTTCTTAGCGCCCCCTCTTGGCAGAAGTGTACCCACCAACCGTTTTATTTAAAATACTGTCCGTTCAGGGCAGTGTGGTGGCTTCTAGAGATGTCTGTAATTTTGTTGAAAATAGACTAGAAAAAAGATATTTTAAAGAATATTTTTGGAGCTGGGAGTAGTAGTGCATGCTTGTAATTATAGCATATGAAAGGCTGTACAGGAAAACTGGGTATTCAAGGCTAGCCTGGGCCACACAGAAAGGTGAGGCTCTGTTTCAACAAATAAAAGAGCAAACAACAAAGAAGATACCTTATGGAGACAATCTCTTATTGACAGGTACTCTCAAGGGGCAGCTAGCATTTTTGAGAACTTAGAGAATTCTAAGATATTTATACATATCTCCCCTAATTTCAATGCTGCAGGACACATGATCTATCTGCGGCATTCGGAATGGGTCACCATTGCAGCAGGTGTCAGAGCTGGCACTCGACCCCAGTCCTCTGCTTTGGAGGACATATTCTCACCTGCAGTCAAGTATGATCAAAGCAGTTTTGTTCATTAAATTAAGAATTACTGTAGACTCTTGTGGTTTGAATGGTACCTGTTTATTGAGTTCAAGTTTTCTGATTTGTTTCAGATGGTCTGTCAGTTCACACCGTGGCAGGAATGCTCTACAATCCCTTCTCGGGCTACTGGCACTGGAGTGACAATACCAGCCTTAACTATGCCGCACATGCTGTGAAATCCAGTGCACAGGAGCACCCTGGGCCTGCCGCGTCTGCTTTACAGGGGGACGCAGAAACGCTCCATGCGAATGCCTAGAGCAGCCCGCGAGTACATGAAGAGCTGCAGAAATGAGATAGCTCTGACGACAGTAGTAATGTGCTTAACAGTTTGTTGTTTACAGATTCAGAAAGCTTATTTCTTTCAACGAGAGCCTGAAGAACAAAAGGTCAATAAAAATATCTAAATCATTGGAGAAAAGTTTTTGTGTCACCTAGGAGACACTTGGTGAAATTTTCTCAGGAGGTTTTGTCAGGTGTGCTAAAGGAGCTTTTATTATAGAAATATGTGTGCTCACTTCATTTCATTCTACATACTAGGCATTTCGCACATGTGTGTACAAAACATATGCTGTTATTTATTTTAACCAAAGAAATCTCTGTTGTTTGTGGTATTTCTGTATTTTTGGTTAAAAGAAACACCTGCCTAAATAAAAGCTACTGTAATTTATATTACTTTTACTTGTGATATACAAAATATATTTTGAGCCAGTGGTGGTGGTGCACATCATTAATTCAAGCATTTAGGAGTCAGAGACAGGTGGATCTCTGTGAGTTGGAGACCAGCCTAGTTTACACAGTGAGTTATAGGCCAGCTAGGTCTGTATAATGAGCCTCAGCCAATCAATGTTTTTCTTTGTTATTTGTTCTTTTAGAATTCTGAACGATATATTTTGTATTTTGATCATATTCAACCTCCTACCCCAGTTCCTTCTCTACCCATCCACTTGTATGCGCGTATGCGTGCACATGCGCGCGAGCGTGTGTGTGTGTGTGTGTGTGTGTATGTGTGTGTGTGTGTCTGTCAAGTTCATTTTGTGCTGCTCTTAGACTTAGGACTGTGTGGATGCACTGAAGTGTGATTGACTTACCAGGATCCCCACTCTTAAAAACAAAACAAAACCTGATATTATGTCTTCCCGTAGCTGTCAATTCCCAATAACTTGTAAGCTAGTGGTGGAACTTTGTCCCTACCTCTCCTTTTCATACTGGGATTTTGTCTAGCATAAACTCGCGCAGGTCTTGTCCATGCAGTCTCCACCACTCTTAGTTCACGCCATGTGTACAATGGTCCATTGACTCTAGAAAACATTTTCTTGTACTCATCTGGTTGCACCCCATCCTCACTCAAGGGAGACAGATTCCTCAGTATTATCAACTATTTTCAGTTTAATTTAGAAGACTTCTCATATTTCTTCTGGCTCTTGAAGGTCAGTAAAGGGTTGCTTAGAATGTTCTGCAATTTTTATTTTTCTGATTTTCTTCATGAAAATTAGTTAATTCAGATAGTGTATTTTTTTTTATAAGGAATACTATATAGTGTGGATATAGTTCACTGGTAGAGCACTTGACCAACATAGAAAAGGCCACAGGTTTCTCCGTGATCCAAAGTAAATAAATAAAAATACAAAGAAGAATAAGAAAAAAACAACAACAACACACAAACACACTACAGAAGTTTCCCATCAGAAAACTTATGCCATCAATTTCCTTATTACTTACTGGTGGCATTAATTTTCATAATTTTGATTGGTTGGTGTCTGATAGATTTGTTTCTGTAAATTTACTACTTTTTTCCTTGGGATGATTAAGTGCCTTATAAAAGAATAGCTTGAGAATATTTAAATACTCTATTTTCCACATTCTTATTACCATCCTGTAAGAGCTCTCAAGAGTAAGAGAACTTATATGATGAATCGCTCCCTATATATAAAGGGATTTATTGGAATGGCTTATGGGCTGCAGTCCAGCTAATCCAACAACAGCCAGCTAGGAATGGAAAGCCCAAGAATCCAGAAGTTGCTTGCTCCATGAGGCTGGATGTCTCAGCTGATCTTCTGTAGAAGATCAAGGAAGTAGGCTCTAATGCCAGAAGGAACGGATGTGCTAGCAAGGTGAGGGCAAACAGGCACAGATTCTTCTTTATCCTCAGTATCCTTATTTAGACTTCCAGCAGAAGGTGTGTCCCAGATTAAAGGCATTCCTGCCTCAAGGTCCAGATCAAAGATGCGTGTCTTTATACCTCAAATGTCTGGACTAGAAGTGTATTCGCCCACTTCAAACCAAGCAAAAACTCTCTCACAAGTGTGCCTCCAATTCTGGATTCTAGTTCATTCCAGATGTCGACAAACTGACAACGAAGAATAGCCATCACTCCTCCGGCATGGGCTGACCAGAAACTTACTTTGCAGACCTGGATTGCCACAAACTCACAAAGATCTACCTGCTTTTGAAACCCCAAAGTAAAATAAACTTTCCTTCTTAAATTAAAATAAACTACCTTTCTAGTGCTGGGATTAAAGGCATGTGCCATGACACCTGGACTTTTGTTTTTGAGGCAGAGTTTTGTGTAGCATGGTTGGCCTTGACCTGACGGTATAGCCAACAATGACTTGGAACTTTTAATTCTCCTGCCACTACCTCCCTGCAGATATTCCTCACTCTACCCAGTTCACCACTTGTGGTTGAATAGGAATGCCCCCCTCCCCATAGACTCACATGTTTGAATGCTTGGACCATAGGGAGTGGTACTATTAAGAAGAAGTGTGCCTTTATTGAAGTGTGTGTGGCTTTCTTACAGGAGGTATGTCACTTGGGGATAGGCTTTGAGGTCTCAGAAGCTCAAGCCAGTCCACTTGCTGCTGCCTATGGACCTAGATGTAGAGCTCTCAGTTACCTCTCCAGCACAATGTCTGCCTGCATGCTGCCATGCTTCCCACCATGACAATAATGGACTGAACTGGACTGAACCTCTGTCAGTAAGCCAGCCCTCATTAAATGTTTTCCTTTATAATAGTTGCCATGGTCATGGGGACTCTTCACAGCAATAGGAACCCGAACTAAGACACTACTATGTCTAGTTTATATGATGCTGGAGATGAAACCTTGTGCACTTTACCAACTGAACTACATTCCTAGCCGTGACTAGTCCCATGATGGCACTGCTCTTTCTGTTCTCCCTTGCCTCTGTCTGATACACACTCTACTTATTGTGCCAGTGTTTATAATAAGGGACTGGAGAGATGACTCATCAGTTAAGAGCACTTGTTCTTCCAGAGGACCCGAGTTCAGTTCCTAGCATCCACACTGGGTGGCTCGCCACCATCTATAACTGCAGCTCCAGGTGATTCAGTGCTTTCTTTTGACCTCCACATCAGCGCGCGCGCGCGCACACACACACACACACACACACACACACAGAGAATTAAAAATAAAGTCTTAAAAAAGAAAATTTGTTATATTTTAGCGTGGGAGTCCACAGTTTTGAATCTGTTCCATCTTGACTAACAGAGAGCTCAAACCTATTCTTGTTCCTCAAGGACAAATAAGATGTTCGGCCAAAGGTGTGCTACTGATGTCTTCCTACTCAAAGACCAGGCAGCAGGATGCTTGACTTAGGGCGTGGTTACTAGGCGTTTTGAGATGTGAGGAGGTAATCATGCTTGTTTGTTCCTTGGCTCATGGGAGGGAAGACTTTTTCTCTCTCCCTTTGATTGAGGAATATAAGGACTATGCATAGGAGTAAACTTTAGGCTGCTACAGTGTCCACTGGAAGCCCTTCCAACTCTACCATCTGTCTCTTGTCTCTTTCTTACTCCTCACTCCCCTTTTCAGACACATGTGAACAAGTTGACTAGTACCTACATGTTAGTGTTGTTCTTAACTTCCTTAGAAGGCTCTTTGTTCTGATGACTTTCAGGGTAGGTAATGATCATAAGCTTGAGACCGGGTGAGGTAACAGAGAGTTTGAGGCCATTCTAGTCCATGTTCTGGGCCAGAGATTCATTCTTCGGTGACAGGGTCCTGAGGGGGACAATGAAGGGATGAGAAAATAAAGAACATAGGAAAGTTTGGGGATCAGGAGGTTTTGCACACACTGATGGCTCACACAGACAAGTTTATTAAGAAGCACAGCATCTTACATACAGTTTGGATGGGATGGAGTCAGCAGAAAGTGGTTGTACAGTAGGACAAAAAAACCTTCAAGGCCCCAGCCCCAGACTGGACCTTGCCTACTCTGCCCCTGGGCAAGGACACAGAACTAATTTTTCTTTGTCCTTTCACTGGGGCCTTTGAGAAAGCCTCGGAACAGCTCCCAACAAATCCACACAGCGAAATCCTGCCTCACAAAACAAGTATTTGTGGATAAAATGTGCATGTATGTCTCATCTCAGCTCAGGTTCATAGCTTTCTGTTTTAGTGTGACATCTGGCATGTAACTGGCACATGTAATGAACTGATTGTAGTAAGTTTTTTTTTGGGCTGCCAGCTCACAGGTAATGACACAGAGACTTCCTACTAATTATGAGAGCTTGGCCTTTAGCTTAAGCTTGCTTTCAACTAGCGCTTATAACTTAAACTAACCCATATTTTTTATTAATCCACATTCTACCATGTGGCTTTTATCTCTGTTTCATTTTGTGTGTCTGTCTTGTTTTTTTTTTTTTCCTCTATCCCATTTTGTGTGTCCGACTTGTTCCGCATCTTGCTTGTGTATCTGGTTCCTAGATTCGTCTCGAGTTTCCCTTCTCTGCCTAGAAGTACTGCCTATCTCTCCTGCCTAGCTATTGGTCATGTAACTCTGTATTAAACCAATCAGGAGGTGCCTTAGGCAGAGGCACAGCTTTACAATGTAAACAAATACACTGCGACAACTGATGAGGTTAATTTTCTTACATAGGATCATTTTTCTATTAAAGAAAATGTTTTTGTTCTTAGGGACTGAACCCTTGAAAAGTAAGAGACATGCAGTTTAGGTGAAATAGCTTTAAAAATGGAAACAGTCCATGTTGTTAGAAAAGGATGATTGCAGCTGTGCATGAGGATGCACACCCCTAATCCCAGCACGTGGGTGAGAGAAAGCAGGCATTCTGTGGGTCTGAGGCCAGCCTGGTCCATACAGCAATATCTATGTCAGTCAGGGCTACATAGTAAGACCCTGTCTCAATTAATCAATCAATCAAACACACAAACCCCCAAAGGCAAAACTAAACATAACAAGAAGAGATAATAATAAAAAAAGAATAGAAAAAGATGGATGGATGAAACACTTTTCAGAACTTTAGAAATGATTCCTATGAATGTGTGCTTGCCTGGGGAGAAACCGTGAATGAACATGCAGGGAAATGTCAGCTGCTGGGGATTCTAGGTGCTTGTGTGAGATTTCATTTGTGTTCTGACAAATAAAGTTTGCCTGGAGATCAGAGGGCTGAGCTAGCCCCTAGGTAATCATCAAAGCTGGGCAGGGGTGGCACATGCCTTTAATCCCAGCACTTGGGAGGTAGAGACAGGAAGTGATAAGGTGGGGTGCAGACAGGATCTCAGGCCTTTCAGATGGAGGAAGGAAGGTTCTCTGAGCTTCCAGGGTTTTACACCGATATCTGACTTCTGGTTTTTACTAAGAATGATTAGTATCATGCTTCATTTGATGGGCATACACAGACGCCCACTGCATT